CGGAGGCACCGGCCAAACTCACTGAGCAGCGGAGGGAACGAGAAGACAGGAGAGCCCGCTGCGGGCACAAGCGCCGTGCCAGGGCTGCCGGGCCGCTAACCGCCGACTGCAGCTGACGGCTTTGCAACCGGGCCGCGAAGTCCGGCCGCCAAGGCTCCGCTGAGTAACCCGGACGCGGAGCGTCACCGCGTACGCCCGCCACGTCATCGCGTAGAGGCCCGCCCCTCGCCTCCGGTGCAGCCGGCCAGGCGGGGCAACCAGAGTCCCGTATTGCGGGAGTGGGGACTCGCCTCCTGAGGCGGGGCTTTCGGGGGGGAGGGGCAACCCTGAGAGGTCGTCTGGTCCGGGAGCCGCAGTCAGGGAAAAGCCTCAAGTGCCGGACGAAGGAGGGGTGTGGCAACAGCGGAAGCGGCGGGGTCCTGCGCTGTGGGAGGCCTGTGGCCCCCAGCATCTGGCAGCCTGAGGTCAGCAAGTGAGAGCAAAAATCCAAGCACTCTGTGCCCCATGATTCGAAGATTAAACTCGGGCCAAACCTGAGCATAGAGCAGGTATCCCCAGTGCCAGGCCGCAAAGCTGGGACGGCAATAAATTCATTCTGAGGACATCCACCTGAAGTCCAGCAAGTGCAAAGCAACCTCCTCCTTTTTCCCCCAAATCCACCTCCTCTCATCCTTTCAGTTCAAATCACCTGAATTATATTTGAGACCACATAAAGCGTGGTATGAAATTATACTGTCATAAATTGAAAAAAGAAAAAAAATGCACTGCCATCCAGTTGATTCCAACTGACAAGACTGAGTAGAACCACTCCTGTGGGTTTCTGAGACTGTAACTTTTTTTTTAAATCATTTTATTGGGGGCTCATACCACTCTTGTCACAATCCATACATACATCAATTGTATAAAGCACATTTGTACATTCGTTACCCTCATCATTCTAACATTTGCTCTCCACATAAGCCCCTGGCATCAGCTCCTCATTTTCCCCCTCCCTTCCTGCTCCCCACTCCCTCACGAACCCTTGATAATTTAGAAATTATTATTTTGTCATATCTTACACTGTCCGATGTCTCCCCTCACCCACTCTCCTGTTGTCCATCCCCCACGGAGGAGGTTATATGTAGATTCCTGTAATCGATTCCTGAGACTGTAACTCTTAACCAGAATAGATAACTGCATTTTTCTCCTGCAGTGTGACTGGTGGTTTCAAACTGCTGACCTTGTAGTTATGTCTAACCCATAACCACTATTCCACAAGCCTCCTTGGTAAATTGACAAGCCCTTAAATATCCAAACGTGTGGAAAGGCATTTAAATTACCTTGCTGTTATGTGCATGTTGAAACATTGCCCCAACTTGTGTTATGCTCATAGTGTTGCTATGTTTCAGCTCATTGTTGAATCTACTGTCAATCTGTCTCATTGAGGGTCTTCCTCTTTCTCACTGTCAATTCATGCTACCAAGCATCATGTCCTCCTCCAAGGACTGGTCCCTTCTGATAATATGTACAAAGTCTTGTTGTCGTCCTCACTTCTAATGCTGTACTTCTTCAAAGGTAGTTTTGTTCCTCTGGCAGGCCATGATACATTTAAAATTATTTATCAACACTAATTCAAAGATATAGATTCTTTGATCTTCCTTATTCATTCTCCAGCTCACATGCATAATATAGGCAATTGAAAATGCCATGGCTTGTATCAGGTACACCTTATCTTTCTACAAAGTGAGATCTAAAAATAACCCTCATTGCTGAGAGGCAATGTGAGCTGCATGAGACAAGAAGCAGATGCCAGTGGTTTGAGGAGGATCCCAGAGCAGACAGGAGTTCTGCAGCTGTGGACTTGGCCAAGTTGGCAGATTTAGCAGAGACACGCCCAGACCCGCTAACAACAAAGACTAGAGAGAGCTGGTGAAACTGAGGCAGATAATAATTTTGAGGACCTGAGTTTCAGATGGTAGGGGAAGTGGGCTGAATACAGACTAGAAGAAGAAGCTGAACAAAAGCAGTGAGAGAAGAGGCAGACGGGTGAATTGTCCAAGTGCTACCATCTTGAATGTTTACAAGCGGCTTTTGCCCAAGACATGGCCAAACACGCGGTGGCTGACAAAAAAGGAGAGGCAGCAACACCATACCTTCAGTAGCCTCCCAAACTGGGCCACCTGATTATTGACACTCCACAGCCAGCATCAGCCAGACCTACCCTCAATTGTGCTGCACAAACAGGAATTGTACACACACACACACACTCCCATTCTCTATCACACCCGGAAGAGACAAGTGCTAAGTACCTAAGAAAACCAACATAACAACAATCTTCAATTAAATTCAAATTCAACAATGCCTCCAAATTTCAGTACCAATTCAGATCATGTGGAACAAGACAAGGTGGCTCAAATAAGTGGCCAAAATATAGCACTAGAAAGGATTACTGAAAAACTACTTGACAAGACTATACCTGATGAGGAACTATGTGATAAGGAATTCCGAAGATTGTTAATTAGATATATTCCATATTTGAGGAGAAGGTTGCCATGTTGCTAGAAAAAATAGACCAAAGGCCAGCAAATAGAAATGCAGAAGCTAAATACAATTCTTTCAGTAAAAGGTGCTACAGTTAAAAATCAAGAGTAGAACTGAGTCACGGGAAGGATGAATTCAATAGCTTGAAGCAAATCTTGCATTAGTAATCTGGTAGAGGGACAACTGGACAAAAGAGGGGAAAAATATCTCACAAAAATTTGAGAATGATGGGAGATGCCATCAAGAGGAACAAGAAGACTAAAAACAACACCAAGAAGATGGTCAGAAAGTCCTTGATAGAAAACTTCCCTAATGTCATGAAAGAAAAGACTACTTAATCTTCTCTTCAAGAAGCTGTGTGAAGCCCAGGAAGGATAGACACCGAAATAAATCATCATGATGTGTTGTGTTCAAAATTCCAGAACTAAAGATAAGGAATTCATCCTGATGATAGTTTGGGATAAACAAAACGTTACCTAAGAATGGGAGCTAATAAGACTGACATCTGATTTCTCAGCTGAAAGCTTGGAGGCAAAACGGCAACGGAACTGATACATATTAAGAACTCTGAAAGAAAAAAAATTTCAAGAAATATATGCCCAGAAAAATTGTCCCACAAGTATGATGGCAAAGTTATGACATTTCCAGATAAATAGAAACGGAAGGAATTTGTATAAATCAGACCAACTTTACAAGAAATACTGAAGTAAGTTTTTCAGATAGGTAACTGACAACAACCTGACATTCACACACATCACAACACCCAGGGCCTACTTGGATATAGAAGTATCCAAGGTAAAACAAACCTACAAAACTAAAAATGAACCAGAGATAATAATTTGTAGCAAAGACAACTACAACACTGTAAGAAGAGGGAATAGTATAGTTACAGAACTTCCAAATAGAGAGGAAGTCAAGTAGATTTTACTTGGGGAAGGCAATGTGTGTCGAGGGAAGTTGGACAAAAAGATGATGGAGGCAAGGAAAGATACTAAAGAGTAGTGTTACAGTTAGACAACAGGTAAATACAGTTATATACACAATCCAGTAATGGTGACCTATGGGTACATAAACAAGCTGAAGAGGTGTGGGGAGGGAGAAAATAAACTCACAAGTACATGGATAGGTTTTGCTATATATTTTATATGGGTATTTACTTTTTCTGCAAACGTGGGTAAATGTGGTGGAGCATAACAAGGGCAAAGTCATGAAAACGAATTAGACTTAAGCAAACACCTTGAAGGGATAAGTTACTGTGCTGGAGGCTCAGGACCAAAGTCTCCAAGGACACCAAGGTCCATTGGTATAACAGCCGACAAAGACAGTGGTCTGTATCCTGCTTTGGTGGGTAGTCACTGGGGTCTTAAAAGTTCATGAGGAATCCTCTAAGCTGCAGCTATTGGTCTCACTGTTTCCAAAGGAAATAAAACTGCTGAAAATCAAAGAGATGGGAACAATTAATCCAAGGGACTAGTGTACCCATTGATTATCAGTCTTAGCCCTAAGACGAGAACAATTAGGTGGTGCACAACTGCCACTACCACTACAAAACTGATCATTATAGAAGATTCTGGAGAAAGTGGGATAAAAATGTGGAATAAAACTCGGAACCCTAGAAAACATCAGTCTTTTACTTTGCTTCTTCGTAATTGTTTCTTTGTTATTGTTAATTTAATAATGCTTTTTTCTGCCTTTCTTGACAGTTTGCTCAATAAATTACGCCCCCACTTTTTTTTTGAATAGTGGGTACGTGTTCAGCTGCAATCCACACAGTCAATAGGCCAGGCTTTCTCCTGCTGTAAAGAGTTACAGTCTTAGAAACTCAGAGGGCAATTCTACCCTGACCCCTAGGGTCGCTATGAGTCAGCATCGACTTGATAGCAGCGATTTTATTTTTGGTTTATAGAGTTTGTTCAGCGACATTCATTATGTTTTTTGCAATGAGTCAACATTTGCTTTCATTGGATTCTACATGTTTCATTTCCAGTCCTTGAGTTTCTCTGTCCCCTTCTCGTGTTTGTTTTAGTTTTGGTCACCTATAGATTATGTTGTTGTTGTTGTTCTTTGCATTTCACAGAGCTATGTACTCACTATGCCTTTATTTGTGTGTTGTTACTTTATTAGTTTTATAAAAATTGCCCTCAGGGATTGTTTAAATTCAGGGTGATAGTTTAAATTCCAGGACCATAATCTCAGACGACGCAACAAGGTTGGACTTTTTACTAATTTAAGATCTAGTTGATGAAATAGGCTGTGCAACTACATACGACAGCTTTTTCTTTATATGTGTGGTATTCTACAAGCAAAAGGGGAAAATAGACGATAAATAAATAAAATAGAAGGTTTTGCTTTTGTTTTAAGAGAGAAGGGTCATGCTCTTTAAAAAAATAATTTGAGATCTATTATGTATTTTTCTCTCATTCTATCAGGGTTAATTTATTATGACCCTGACCAGAATGGTCAGGAATTTTAATCCAAACACAGTCTAGTTCTTCAGGTATCAGGGTACAGGAGGCTGTGAGTCATATAGCCTATTAGCCATATGTACTGGTTTTGTCTCTCTGATACTCTGGCTTTCTGTTTTCTCTTTTGCTTCTAATAAGCA